TTAGAGTAACAAACTCCAAAAGATGATGCTTATTGTGAATAATGAAACATGGTACTGGCATAAAAACAGACACATAGACTAATGGAACAGAATAGCGCGCCCAGAAACAAATCCATGAATTTACAGCCTAACAACTGTTAACAAGCATCAATGATTTTTGACAACACACAATGGGGAAAGGATGGTCTCTTTAATAAATGATGTTGAGAAAACTACATAGGCACATTACAGAATAATAAAATTTGACCCTTATCTCATACTATATAAAAAATCAACTCAAAATGGATTAAAAATTTAAATGTAACATACCAAACTATGAAACTACTAGAACAGGTAGAAAACTCCATGACATTGATCTGCACAATGATTTATTAGCTATGACCCAAAAAGCACAGGTGACAAAAGCAAAAATAGACAAATGAGAGTATACCAGCTGAACACACTAAGACATCATATATAAGTCATCACATTGAGACACTCAGAAAATGTCTATTGAATAAATTAATTTAATCTTCTAGAATGTGGGCCTCATGAGAAACTAGGCCTTCACTTGTTGTTGCTGTTGTATCCTCCGTGCCTAAACAGAAAGTTAGAACAGAAAGATTCTGGAATATGATAGGTACTCAGTAAATGTTTCTGAAATGAATGAATGATTCAATTAAGCAGCTCTCTGCTTGGAAAGCAGGCTCATGTTCAAGCAGCTAAAATAGACTGGTGCCTTTAAAGTAAACTGTATCCAAATGGTTCTGGTTTAAATATGGATTAAATTAAGTCAGCCTGTGGCAAAGTACAGGTTGTTTGTTAAGCACATTGAGGTAAAAAAAAAATATTGACCTAATGCTTTTCTCTCATTTGGTATTTGGGAGACATAACCATAGTCTAACAGAATCTGAGATTTTGTGAAACACGTTGGGCTACATTTTACAATAAATGACTAATGAAACACTCAGTTAAAATGTATTTGCTCGATAGAAATCCCCTCTGGAGGATGATTTAATCCTTAATGCCTGATTTGAGATTCCCTAGATGTTTTCAGCAGTGAACAGGGAATCTGTCAGAACATTGTCAGGAACATATATACTTGCATAAATAGATGAAAAGCATCAAGAACTTCCAAAATTCTCATGATGGAAATGGGAACATGTTCCATGCCTAACCCACAAGGCAACATATCCAGAATAGTACACTCCTTTGAAAAAGGGAACAGATTTTCATTCTTACTGTCATAAATCAGAAAACTGCTTTTATTTTAGATCGATGATCTCATTTGCCTCGTAGGAACAAATTCTTCAGATCCTTGATCCATTACTTGTTCAAATGGAAAAATTGTAATGCTTTTCTTTCTCACAAACGCTTCCAGAACAAAGGATACATTTTAATGCAGCACATAGGGCTAATATTAATAAATTGTGTCCTCAGAAAGACTATTTTGTGGTGAAAGGGGAATGCATTTACAGTAAACAGGAATTGCCTTGGAGGACTGGAAAGTTCAGTCTTAATGTTCAGGCTATTTACCAGAAAAATAGATTCGGTCTCCTTTTCATGGTGAGAAATACACAAGAGAAAAATTTTATAATGTACTATTAGACACTCTGACTTAATGCATACTTCTCATTATTTATTTCTTCTCCAAATCTATCTTCAAAGAACTAGTGATATACTTAAAAGTAACTAAGCAATCTCCAATAAAAAAAGGAAGATTATGAAGTTACCTGGGGATTTGAATAAGTCTAAAGGGTCTTTAAATATCAAAAGAAACTGCAATTTGACTTCTGTTTCTGATCAAATAATGTCTAGGAAAGTCTACAGAATTAAGCAGTTTTGTCCCTTCCCACACTCATAAATATCCTTACTATACAAGATAGGACACCATTTCTTCCTTGAAGCTGAGTTCTCCTATTTTGTGTTTTTAAAAATCAAGAGGAAGTAATTCTGAGATAAGCTTAAAATGTTTAGTTCTAGGTTTTGTTTTTTTTATTTGTGGTTGGTTGGTTTTCTGGTTATTTTTTGTTATTGTTATTCCTTGAAGCAAGTTTTCAAAACAACGAAGAGTTGTTCACTATTCAACCAGTTTAAATTTGAAAAGAGATTTATTCATAAACTGTTTTTTTTTTCCCAGTTGAGTTAGTCATTGGTCAAAAATAGATCAGGACTCAAGATACAGTTCAACTGCAAAAGTATCATTTTGAAAGTATGGTCAAAACTAACTCTGAAAGCTATATTTCAACCCCTGACTGAAAAATATCAGTACTCTGAAATTCCCTCAGATTATTAGAAATGATCAATGTGGTGTGCTCTAAAATACTTAAATGCAACATAAGTGGTCACATAGATACCTGTATCAGCTTAATTAAGCTTTTCATTTCTACTTTGCTTGCTTTTGGCAACTGAAAACCTCTGACACCTACAAACATGCCAGGAGAAGTTGAAAATAAATGTAATTCTGATAAACAACTTCTGCTTCTGATTCATTCAATTACAAAAATATACTGAGTTTCTACCACGAATCAAGAACTTTTTAAAAAGCAGTAATGGAAAAAAGGACTGCTGTCTTCAAAATATTAATTTTTAAATCCTTGAATAGAATTCAAATGCACCTCCAAGCTGTGCCATTCTATTATCTCTCTTAAACATAATTATGGGTTATAATCATATTAACCTATTCATATTAAATGAATACATGTGTATTTTTGTATATGAGCAATTAATTTCCAATAATTAATGTATACCAATAAATAGTAAATGAAGAGATTATATCTATGTTGGTAGTAACTTGTTTTCAGGGTTTCTCAGATTGTCAGACAATAGAAATTAATTCTTTTCTTCTGGGAATCAATGCTAAAATAAACATGTGACAAATAAAAATATTAATATAAAATTAAATGTATAACCACAAACAGATATAATCTATCACATTTTGTCATCATTAAAGTGCATATGTAAATGAATTACACACATACAAGAAAGGCATTCTTTCCTATGTCTGTCTGCCTTGCTTTTTACTCCTTAGACTGGTGGTTGGCAATCTATGGCCCGCAAGACAAATACTCAGTATAGTGTTTGGTTTTTAAAATTAAGTTTTATCAGAACACAGCCATGCCAATTTGTTTACTTAACATCTATGGCTGCTTTGCACTAGGACTACAGAGCTAAGCAGCATCACAGAGACTGCAAGGCCCACAAAATATTTACCATCTGGCCTTTTACAGAAAAAAAAAATATTGCCAACTTCTATTTTATATTAATTCTATTATCTAGTGTGAGCAGGGGCTTTGTCAAACCTTAGTTTGATAAATAAGACCCAATTTACCTGCCGGTCACTTGATACCAAGTAAGTATCCAAATTGTATGTATTTTTATAATTTTCATTGTTTACTTAGGTTGAGAGGCAAGAGAAAAATACAATGTGAGAGAATGAAGGAGGGCTAATTCTACTCTTTTCAATTTTCATTTATTTATCAATTTTCTATACTAACACAACTATGTGCTTTTCAGAAAATAGGAAGATGGAAATGAAGAAATCTAACACCATCTCACAGAGATATATTGGAATACACTTAACTTGATCCTTTCTTTTACTGGGATTTTTTTAGAAGCAGGTTGTTTTGATTTTTTTAAACCTAGCTTTCTTTGGGTAGAATAGTTCATTTACCTTAGACTGTTAATCATAGTTGCATTTTAATTGTGCTCAAATATTATAGTAGGTGTTCTGCTGAGTTACAGCCTTTGGCATGGGATGGAGCAGATATCAAAGTGACAGACTCCTTTATGGCTGCACAATTATAAAATAGGTTGCCTTGAAAGGAATGAGCTCCCTGTTACTGGAGGTGAACAAGCAGAGGGATGATGACCGTCATTCAGGGATCTAAAAACAGGATTTCTAAATTTGGGAGGGAGGCTCAATTGGGTAATTTCTAAGGGTTTTTTTTGTTTTGTTTTGCATCTAAGAATCTGTATATCTTTATTATTTAGCATCAGAACATTCTATAAACTGAAACAGCACACACAATATCTCTAGAAGTAATTTTAAAAACACTCATTGTTACATTATCCTGTTCTAGAATTATAATTAGTGATTAAATGCTATGAACATTAAACCCTGAAGAGGAATACTGATTTTGGTCCAATCTACATCCATCATTAAGATGGCTGAAATTGACTGATCATCTGGTCCAGAATTTTTTCAGTTCACATGAAAATATGACCTTAATAAAAAAGAAAAGGCCTCTAATATATGCATATAAATAGTTTACACATTATATATGATATATAGTTGAACCAAATGCACTTAGTGTCAAAAAGCAAATTATAGAGAAGTAATGACCCAGTTCTAAATCCTTACTGAAACTCCTCAATAGGGGTTAGGTGCCCGTATAAGACAATCCTGTGGTACCACATTTGCTACAATATTTGAGTTCTGTGCATGCTAAATAAATAATCATTGTTTTACTGACTTAGTAGTGCTGATATAAATATAAGAAGGAAGAACATAGTCTAACATTTGAGGCAAGACCAATTATGGCTTTAGCCATATCTCTGACACTAAAAGGCCTTGTAACCTTGTACAAATCCAGGCATCAGGGGTTTAGTTCCCTAAGATATCAAACAAGGCCTTGGTTCTCAAACTTTATATGAGAATCACCTGGAAGGCGTGTTAAAACACAAGTCACTGGGCTCCAGCCTCAGAATTTTTTTTATTCAGTAGGTCTGGGGTGGGTTGAATAATTTGCATCTCTAAGTTACCAGGTGCTGCTCATACTGCTTGTCAAGGGGCCACACTTGGAGAACAAGACAAGGATTGGGAAGATGGTGGTAGTGAGTCACCAAATCATTAGTACTTCAGCTGTCAGACAGCAGTCAGCATCAAACATGCACAGAGAAATGTAATCATCTTTTTAATCAAAGTTTCATTTGAATTAGAAGTGAGATGAATGTGTTTTTTTTTTCCCTTTAGATTTCAACAAAGATTTCTGACCATGTAAATGTTCTATAATACTTACGTCATAGCTTGATAAATGGATTCAATCCCATAACGCATGGCAAATTCATCAACTATTTCTTGGGAAGCATCATCAAAGAAAACCTTCCAGGCTTCATCTCCTTTGACATCTGGGATTTTCACTCCACCGTTAGATTTCACTTCAGTTAAATAATGGAATAGATTCTAAAAGCAAGTGGTTTTTAACTGTTCAGTGATTCCTTAGAATAGGCCAGAAATACTTAACTACAAGTTTCAGCAAAATGCACTTGCATTGTCATCACTTCTAATATTTCATCAGCATCTACAAGCAACAGGAATATCTTGGATTTTTATTCGAACCTCACTTCATCTTCTATGAAAAATCTGCTTTTACTTCTGCCTGGGTCTATGCAGAATCAACGATTCAAATGTTTTATGCATACCAAACCATTTTCAGAAGTAAAAGGTTTTGTATGTAGACATTTCTACGTAATAGAATATATTTTGCATTCATAGGTTCTGAGTAAATTTTAGTGCCCTGGATGAATAATGTGATTTTCGTTATGTAAATGATACTAAAGGACATCAGCTGCAAAATGCTAAGAGTCAGGTCAATGAATTGAGGTTGAAATGAATGTTTGAAAATTTCATAATGCAAAAATAAATCACTACTCTCAATTCATTTTTGCTTCTAACAAGTTTAGGAACTGCTATATGGATGCAGCCTGGGTAAACTGAAGGACCTTTTTCTTCGATTTCAGTTTTATAATACCTGGTTCTTGGACCAGAAGAAAAAACTCTAAAGAGTGAAGCTCAGTGCTGTTCCTCTGATCACAGATATTCTCTGCCCACACTTTAAGGCCAGAGTTCTCCATCATGCCAGTCCAAGGGATTTCTTTTTATTGGTCTGAAAACTGAACAACCTTTCTTCAAAGAACAGTATCAATGACTACTAGATTGTGGTCACAAAATTAAGCCTAAATCCTATATCGAATTACTTTGTAGTATGTAAATGGATTTAAACAGTGTTTCTCATTTCTTTCTTAGTAAAATGGGGTGTAAATATTTACATGTATACATTTTCATAAATGTATTTAGAAAAAATAGCATGCAGAAGGGCAAAGCTGTCTTTCAACTGTCTTTTTCTGTCTTAGGAATGTACTTTCTTTTTATCACTTTGAACATGAACAAAGGTACACTTATTCCTCAGATGCATCTCATACTTTTTGATATATGAGACAAGTATCATTTGCATCAGAAAACATTTCCAGTGACATCTCTAACTAACCTATCAGCTGCAAAGCATCCAATAGAACCCCAAGATTATGAGTCTATGTATGCATCCATACTGAGGCATGAAAGGGAATTGGTGAATCCACCCTTTGGATTAATGGTGAGTGGTCTCTCACTCTCTCCAAACCAACCAGGCCCTACCTCTTTGGTGGGTAACCACCTCCTGATCCTCTCATTTATCTTTGTAGAAAGAAAAGTTAGAATGGAGGAAGGTTCAATATGTATGAAGCCCTTTGTTATACTCAGAAAAAGAAAAAAAAAAAAATGACTGCTTGTTACATTGGCTCCCAAAAGCCATTGAAACCACATCAGCATTTTTATGTTTCTAGTTATAAATAATACCTCTAATTAAATCTTCCATAAAATCTGAACCCTAACTCGGAGTTCTCAGAAACAATTATGATTTGGATCCTCTCCTGTGCTACCGAAGGAATTACTAGCTCTTTAATGCTTCCAAAGTACTTGTCATTACTCATTTCTTCAGTAAACACTTTTTAATGTTCTTTCTTACTCTTCGGGAAAATGGTAATTTTTCCCTACTTATGCATTATCATCTTATTGCCTATTAATATGTGCCTCATGGGCTTGTTCTAAACTTTCATCAGAGGACAAGCTTGCAGGGGGCAACACATAGGATTTATGATACCCTAACACATCACCTGCCATAGGAGAGAGTCAGAACTCCAGGAAGGACTCTACAAACTTAATTCAACGATTTTTTTAAATCAAATTATTTAGTTTTATAATCCATAATCAGGACCATTTTCTTTTCTAGGTTTTATCATCCATATAATGCAATTTATTTACCTCATGTAAACATGTGTATTGTATATGATATGGAGCGACCTTCTCCTCTCCTTTTATTTCCACATTGATCTTCAATCGAATAGCCCCAGATACAGCTGACTTATCCGTCCGTTTCTCTGATAAAGCAAAAAAAGTAATTGATTAGTCATCTTTGGCAATGCCATGTTTCTCATACACATTCTCAAAAGCTTTAAAAAAAAAGGTTTAAGTAGCTAAAAGCCATTTTTCTACGTCAGACTTTATTATTAAGTAACCACCATTATTTCCCTAAATATAATTTAAAATATTTGCCTATTGTGTCATTGTGACTGTCGAACTGTCTTACAGATTCCCCCAATAGAAAAACTTTATCAGGAGACCCTGCTATTCTGACAAAATTTCTGTGTACTTGATCAGCTTATACAATGAAACTAAATACATTTTTGGCAATTAAAAGCAAGACAATTGCAAGTGTAGAATTAACCAGGAGAGTGTTTTGCCTAAAAGCTACCGCTGCTCAGTTTCTTCTCTTTCTTTCTGTGCTTCAAATATGAGCCAAAGCTCCAGTTAGCAAATAAAAATTTTAATAGTTTTTATTATGAGTGATTCATAAAGACCTACAGTCTGTAACCTGTGTTTATTTATAAGTATTGGATTAACTATTTATTTGAATGGAATCAATTCAGTCAATTTAGCCAAATAATATGCATGAGTGTGTATTCAAGATGATGGGTAGCTTTCAGAGAAATAAACATATAGTCACAGAATCCCCAGGATGTGATTGTAGTCAGGGTTGGGGGTGAGGGGGGCTTGACACTATTTCACAAATGAAAAATAGGATCTAGGTAAAGTGGCACAAAGCCAGTGCTGGACACTTTTTAAATTGGCCTTCTTTATAAACATAACTGTATTTTTAGCCATGTAAGATACAGGGTAAATCATGAAGGCTACTTGCCTCTTGTGGAATGCCTGCTGACTTCTACTTGTTACTATTAAACAGTCATTGTGTTGCAAAGTTTCTATTTTAGTAGCCCTAGGATCCTGAGAGTTTTTCTTACCAGCTGAGAGATAGTTAATTCTCGGCAAATATTTAAGTTCTCTGCTGGGGCCAAGAGAAATGCAAGTCCTGGAATCTTTTTGTCACATACCTCTTTCCAGAGCTCCAGGGAACTTTCTTGGTTCTTTGATTTTAACTATCATCATGCCAAAGGCTCTCTGGGAAGCAGGCTCTGCTTGGACACCCAGGGCTTTTGCCCAAGCCTACCTTTGTGTGATGGAATGAATTCTAAGTGATGAGGAGGGAGGAAAGTGTACTACAAAGACTGAAAATAGGGTATTTGGGCATTGAACCTATTTAAGGATTTTACACAAAGCCTAAAAAGCTAAAACCTGCTCTCTCTTTTTCTCTCAAAGGTTAAGCATCAGCAATGAGGGCACCAAAGAACCAATTGAAGGTGAGCTGGCAAAGGCTTACAATATTGTGTTGCACCATATTTTCATTTCATAGACTGAAGGAGAGTTATAGCTGGAGAGCTAGACTACTGATTTTACTAATAGCACATTTGAGTTCCATGGCAAATTGAATATACCCATATATGTTCTGTCAAAACAAAAAAAAATGAGGATTTTCTGTTCTGAATTATAGCTTTACTGAGGCAACCCAAAGACCTGTTAACTTACCCATGGGGGAGAGGCAAAAGGGAGGAGTCCACGGATAGGTAAATCTCTTCAATATAATAGTAAGACATAATTTGTGAATGTTCCACAGAGTTAATGGATTGAACTTTATCCTTAGCTAACATCTATGTTTTCATGTATAAGGTCATTTAATAACTTAACACATTGACTGCCATGTGAGTTGTATTAAACTCAGGCTAGGTTTGAGCCTGGGGCTTCATGAAGCAAAACCCTGTAGCTGGTTCGTGAAAATCTTACTTGTTGATGTTTTTATTGTTACAATTAATATTGACAATTTAATTCTAAAAATGTGGATTGTGTTGCATATAACTCATGCACAGAAAACAACAAAAAAATGTTAGAAAGGATTGCTTTGTTTTAATAAAACATATGGCCCCAGGGATATTTTTTTTTTCCTAGTGTAGCAGTCAATGTGTTAAACGATATGTGGGAGAGTGTTCATTACAACTGAGATAAAACTCTACTCCAATAATGTAGGAGCACCAATTTTCTTTCAGGAAAATTTCTTAAAATATTTTTTGATAATGAGCCCTTAGTCGAGCTTGACTCATTTGTGCCAAGATAAATTAAATATATTTTTTCTTTAAATTATTATATAGAATTTCACTAATTTTATGACACTCTCCCTTTACTTTGTAACAATTACATTACTTGAGGTATGTAGGTTCTAAAAAAGCCAAAAGCACCTTTTAATTTGTTAAAATATATTAGCATCCTAAATGGTACCTATTTGTTATACTGGGACTGTGTCAACATTTCTCTGATTTATAACTAGCTACCCCTCAAAATTTAATTAAAACATTTCAGAGGATATGATTAGAAATCTTTTGATCAGTCATTTACAGAAACTGAGGTGACCCATACATTTTTACTATTATTAAATCATCATTGAAGATTTTAGGTTTTATGTAATTCCAATAAAAGTCAAATCAAAACTTGTTTTTATTTAATTTCTGGTTGCATAATAAAATTCCATTTTAAAAATCATTTCAATTAAACATATTCCCAATACATTTTTTCTTTTTTGCCAAAATTTCATTAATGGACCAAAATCAAGCAGCATTAAATCATAGGTTGATTATTGGTTTCCCACACATTTGACAAAGGTTTTGGAAGCCATATTTTATGAATTACAAATTAAGAAAGAAATAATATTTTTTCTTCTAAAAGACATTTAGTTGATTCTTCCAAAGGGTTTTCTCATTTCATTTACCAAAGCCTTTCAATAATACTGAATTTAAATTAATAGTAGTCTTTACTTGCCCATGAAATTAATCATCTAAAGTCCAACAGAATGTTCTAGAAAGGCATTGGTTGGTTATTTTTATTTATATGGGAATATAATACATGCTACAGGTAATCTGGACGTTTATTTAACTTGTTTTCAAGTAGATATAAAGATAATCACCTAAATTGTACCAGACATCCATTTCTCCACTCAAGGTCCTCACTTCTACAATTGTTTGTCCCAGAAAATCATCTGACTCCTTTTTGAAATGTTGCTTGACTCTGGATTTAATGTCATCATCTTCATCCCACACTCTGACTTTGATTCGATCTGTGGAGTTATGACACTCACTGAAAATAAATGTGGATAAGTTAACAACCATTGATAACTGCTCTAAGTGGCATCTGATGTTTGTAACTTATTTTAAATCTATCTAATCCAGAAAGGCCTAGTACGTTACATAATAAATGGGATTTCCCACTAACCCATTCCATCCATGGGATGTTGCAGGTACACAGTGCAGATATACTGAAGAAAAGTTTGATTAGTTAAATAATGTTCATAAGAGAAAATCCAACCCCATTTCCCCATCCTATTTCCTTTAAGAGAACTACATATAATCAAACATGAGTCAGAAATCCTTACATGGGGTATTGTCACTGATTTCCCCATCCTATTTCCTTTAAGAGAACTACATATAATCAAACATGAGTCAGAAATCCTTACATGGGGTATTGTCACTGATGTTTATTAGCAAAATGTGATAGAAACAGTGGGGAGGGAGGAAGAATTAATCCACAACACTGTGTCTGTAGCAGCTAACAAAGCCCAGCATTAACCAGGGAGAGCAGTCAGAATGATAACAGCACAGCTGTTTCCCAGCCTCTCAGAATTCCAAAGATTACTATATAGATATACACCTGAAATTACTGTAGCTATGATATTTGGATAATAAAATATTTGGCATTTGCCCCATATTTATATTAAAAATGGCCCAGATTTTAATTTCTTTGCTACCAAAAAGAAGAAAAAAAAATGTTCAGGTAGAAACAAAAACTCGACTATCAGTTTATTTGCTTCATTTTTATATTAGAAAAAGATTGAAAGAAATTTTGAAGTAGCAGAAACACAGCTATATTGTCTTAAACATTCAAAACATCCAAAAGCAGAAAGATGCCCTTTTTTGTCACCTTTTGATAAAATAAATAAATCACCAGAGTTCATGTAAGTCCTAGGAGACAGAGATCTAATATATTTTTTACCTGCAAATAGCAAGTAAATAGCAAGCTCTAGATAATAAAGATTGGTACCCATTTTTAGAATCTATTCCTTAAGATAAAATATCTCATCTCATTTTGAAAAATAAGTTTTGAGGCTCTAGTTTTGTTATAAAGATAAGATTTTTTAAATGGTTAAATATATATACAAATAATAATGCATATAAAATAGTAATAACATATAGGAATACATATATATACACACACACATATATACAGGCAATATCTTTCTCCAGAATTCATAAATATATATGTGCATGTATCTATCTACACATATATATTATATAGCAATAGGAAGGAAAGATGATACTATCTTTCAAAATTTCTATTTAATATCAAAAATATATGATATTAATAGGTGAAGGACAGATATAAATAAACAATGATATACTCCCTATGAATATACTTGGCATTTTGCTTAAGAGAGTTTGAGTCTCTCTGTAGTTCTCATTGATTTTATTTCTTTCATTTTTTTAATTAAATGAACTTTTAATTTTAGAATGATTTTAGATTTATAGAAAAGTTACATCAACAGTTTGGAGAGTTCCTGTATGCCCTGACCCAGAATTCCCTATCATTAAAATCTTGCATTTATGATACATTTACAATATTTGTCAAAACAAACATTGGTTCTCCCTTTTTTTTTTTTTTGCCACATAAAGAATAACTAGCTCCTTCATTTCTAAGAGCTATTTTGGAGGAATATTAAAAACAAAGTTTGCCATTATGTTTCAGGTTTAAACTGTCAGAAACTTACATTTTTACCTCCACAGAGTAAAGAGAGCAATGGAGCTGCTGTTTCAAATATTGAAATTTACACAAAGGATTGGGAATGGGTAGAAAGCCAGAGATTGCCTTGAAGATGCTCTACTGAAGAACCATCACATATGAATGCACAGCATCTCTGAGCATTCTGCTTGCATTTTGGCTATATCCCTCCTTATGTTCCTCATCTTCTCAATAGTGAAGCTAGATAGCACCCATTCCTAGATTCCTTTGCAGCTATGGTCTGCACATTTGCCTTGCATTCAAGCAAGATGTGAACTCAAAATCAAGCGAAGTGATGCAATGGCCATATTCTGGGAAATTACACTTCTGGCAACAGTGGCAGTGGGTGTTTTAGTACTTTAATATAGTGTTTCTAGTATTTAATCTGGGGGGTGGGGGCCAAAATATTGATTGGTATTTTCTTCAAGGAAATGCTACCCTATAATTTGGTATTGTTCCCACACAGTAGCTTCTGTTGCTGCCGTTTTTTGACTTCTCCAACTATTTTTGAGCAACATAACAATCTATGAAATAATCCTTCTGTGCATAAACTAACCAAAGTGGACTATGTTGTTTGCAATTAAGAATACTGGAATACTGACTGGGGCCGGGCGCGGAGGCTCACGCTTGTCATCCCAGCACTCTTGGAGGCCAAGGGGGACCGATCGCTCAAGGTCAGAAGTTCAAAACCAGCCTGAGCAAGAGCGAGACCCTGTCTCTACTATAAATAGAAACAAATTAATTGGCAAACTAATATATATAGAAAAAATTATCCAGGCATGGTGGCGCATGCCTGTAGTCCCAGCTACTTGGGAGGCTGAGGCAGGAGTTTGAGGTTGCTGTGAACTAGGCTGATGCCACAGCACTCTAGCCCAGGCAACAGAGTGAGACTCTGTTTCAAAAAAAAAAATTATAGAACTGACTCCATGAAGGAGATGGTGGGACAAGCAGTGAAAACTCAACCACCTCTGGCTGGAAAGCCAATGCATTTTGATGTGCCATAGCAAAACAGCTGGTCACACTGTTGCCTGCTATGTTTAGAAACCCTGACCACGTGCCAACTGAGCCATGTTTATGAGTAGGAATGGTAGGAATAAAATTCAGAATGTTGGCATATGCTCATGAAATCTTGTCATTTTCAAAAATATGCTGAAGATTAATATGCTCAAACTAGATCTAAACAGTCCGTAAGCAGAGATAGAAGGAAGCACAGCTGTGCCAAAAGAGGTTCACTTGCTAGTGCCCTGCACTATAAATCGGCTGAAACAATCATAATTTGGAACCCTGTGGGGTTGAGAAAAGCCAGTACTCACAAAATTGCGGGCTTCTAAGCACAACTGCAAAAAAAGCTAAAATTATTGCCCCAGGGCTTTTCCAGAACCATCTTTTAATACTTCTTTGAGTGGCAATAAGGGAAACTTAGTGGCAAAAATCTGATTAAAGGTGTTTCATTCTCACCTGGCATATTATTTTGTGGGGACTGAGGTTACAACCATTAGGTTAAGAGAGAGAAACTGATCAGAACAGAGGAGCCAAAGAGCTAAGGAGTTAAAATTTCCAAGCTTATGTGGTTTTTCGCTCATAAAATTGTCTTAAAGCCCATCTCCTGGAAGCCTGGTAAATTTTCCAGGAAAGATTATTGTCAATGTGCCTTTAGGTTTGGCTGGCTGCAACTGTACTTAAAGTGATTCCAGCGTCCCTGAAGTCACAGCATTAGAAAGTAGACTCCAAGTACAGTATCCCCCCACTTAGGAAGAGCACCTGCCTGGATTTCTTGGGCAGGTCCAAATTTATGGGTATTATAAAAAATGGAATGCTTTTTAATTATTTTTATAGGCCTTTTTAGTTTACTTTCGCTTTCCATAGTACCCACTTTGAGTGTAGGCACTGACAAAATGGGCAAAGGAGGTCTACCCAGCTGTATATCTAAAGAATTGGAGAAACTGTATAAAAGAAATTCATCCAGAAAGAAGTGACACAGCACACCAGCCTGGCTAATCAATAACTACTTCTGTTGCCAGGATCAGGCAGTCCTGAGTATACCTGTCCAGCAGGACTCTACATTTGCTATGTACCAATAACAGGTGTTTCTCATTTTCCCTCTTACGAAATGAGAAATTTAAAATTGTTGTTATCCTATCTTCTTTCTCCACAATGATACATGTGGGAGTGTTGGAAGAAGATGAATTGTCTTTAATTTCTGTCCCAGGATCAACAAAGAACCAAACCTAGAGCTGATGGACAGATCAATCAAAGATCCTGGATTTCAAGCCAAAGGCAGAAATTGGACATGATTTTGAGATTACCTACCTCAAAAGAAAGAGGATGAATTCATTTCATTTAAACGGTGCTGGGAAAACTGGATAGCCACTTGTAGAAGAATGAAACAAGACCCACATCTTTCACCTCTTACAAAAATCAACTCACACTGGGTAACAGACTTGAACCTTAGGTGTGAAACTATTAGAATTCTAGAGGAAAATGTTGGAAATACTCTTCTAGACATTGGCCTAGGCTACAAATTTATGAAGAAGACTCCAAAGGCAATCACAGCAGCAACAAAAATAAATAAATGGGACCTGATCAAATTAAAAAGCTTCTGCACCGCCAAAGAAACTGTCAAGAGAGCAAACAGACAACCCACAGAATGGGAGAAAATTTTCACAAGCTACACATCCGATAAAGGGCTGATAACTAGGATCCATTTGGAACTCAGGAAAATCAGCAAGAAAAAAAATCAAACAACCCTATCAAAAAATGGGCAAAGGACATGAACAGAAACTTCTCAAAAGAAGACAGTATAATGGCCAACAAACATGAAAAAATGCTCAACATCTCTAATCATCAGGGAAATGCAAATCAAAACCACACTGCGATATCACTTAACTCCAGTGAAAATGGCCTTTAGCAAAAAGTCCCCAAACAATAAATGTTGGCGTGTATGCGGAGAGATAAGAACACTCCTACACTGCTGGTGGGAGTGCAAACTAGTTCAACCTCTGTTGAAAGCAATATGGAGATACCTTAAAGCAATACAAGTAGATCTACCATTTGATCCAGCAATTCTACTACTGGGCATCTACCCAAAAGATCAAAAGTCACTTTATGAAAAAGACACTTGCACTCGAATGTTTATAGCAGCACAATTCACAATTGCAAAGTTGTGGAAACAACCCAAGTGCCCATCAATTCATGAGTGGATTAATAAAATGTGGTATATGTATACCATGGAGTACTACTCAGCTTTAAGAAATGATGGCGATATAGCACCTCTTGTATATTCCTGGATGGAGCTGGAACACATT